CCTCTCCCTGGGGAAATGTCCCCATGGACTTCCTTCCACCGGGACGGCGGTGCTGTGCTCCTTGGGTGCTGCTCCAGCATCCCCAGGCTCTCCCCGGTCAGGACCAGATGGGGTCCTAGAGGCAGCCCACAATTTTGCAAGCTGCTATCCTATGCGGTAACACAGCGGCAGGAGGTCCCGAAGGCCTTACCATCCAGGCTGAGCACCCTCAGCGCTGGGAGCTTGACGAAGGGAAACTTCATCATCTTGGCTGTGCTTCCTCTTAGGAAAAGCCGCTTCCCCGCTCTCCTCCTGCTCCTCCTCCACTGCCCTTCAGGGGAGAGTGAGGGGCAGGTGGGGCAAGGGCAGCTGTCCCTGCAACGTCGTCCCACTGTGACCTCAGGGGATGTCACAGACGTGTCACAGGCACAGGGCAGAGTCAGGCCCCGGACCCAGCACTCCAGGCAAGCACCATCACTGCTGAGCAGTAGGGGACCGTCGCTCGGCATCCTCACTGCCTCAGAGAGGGCAATTCTGCCGCGCCTGCTCTCCAACACCCCTGACGTAGGGCTTTGCTTGCTTGTTTTCATGCGGCCATCAAAAACACCTGGCAACCAAGCAAAATTGCAATCCTAACAACCTCCTCCAACGACTGCCAGCCTTCCCTTTTCAGACCACCCTCCACACCCGATCTGTCTCTCAGCCTGCCTCCCATCCCTCGCAGTGCGTTCCTCCTCACTCCCCTTCACCATTTCAGGTCCCCTTCGGTCCCCTCCCTAATCTTTTGCTGTGGTTGATGCACCCCAGAGCTGTTTGCCCTCTTGGCTGCCTGGGCACGCTGCTGCCTCCTGTGGGGCCTGCTGCCCACCAGCATCCCCAGGTCCCTTTCTGCAGGGCTCCAGGGAGAGCTCCAGCCACGCCTCTCCCCAGTTATTCTTGGGCCCAGCGTTACTCCATCCAGAGGCAGAATCTGTTTGTTCTTTCATGCCACTAATTTCATGCCACCAGTGACTGCCCAATGCTTCAATCTATCCATCTGCAAGACCTCTTGTCCCTCAAGACAGTCAACAGCACCTCCCAGTTTGCTATTGTCAGCAAACTTGCTAATGGTGCATTTAACTCCTGCAGATCATGCATCAAAACACTGAAGAGTGCTGGCCCTCGGGTTGAGCCCTGAGGAACACCGCTGGGGACTGGTCACCGGCCAGATTCAGCCCCATTCTCTACAACCCTTTGAGCCCCACCATCCAGCCAGTTCTTCACTCAGCGCAGTGTGCACCTGCCCGTCTCACAGTTGGACAACGTGTCCAGAAGGCTGCTCTTCCCCTGTTGTGAAGGGAGTGATTCACCTCACTCGTAAGACAGCAGCAGCGAAATATTGTTGCAAAACAACCTTTTAACAAAGTTTGATAGTAAATGCGACAGCGTTTTAAGGAGATTCGATGGCAAGGCACACTTGGTTATTTACTGCAGAGGACAGGGTCAGCCAGAACTGTCAGGGAGACCCTCCTGTTGAGTCACGACGTTCAGAAGGGAACCCCTGGCTTTCTCAACTGCTTCTCAGAGAGGAGTTTAGGTGTGGCTGGATCCAATCTTAGTCCCAGACTTGGTCAATGGTTTATGCCTACAGGATTATATATGCGCAGTCAATATTTTATATCACTTAGCTAAGATTTCAAAGTTTAGCGTGCTATTAACCACCTACCGAGGATCTGTTGCGGTAAGGAATCTCTGGACTATACCACCACATCTCCAGAAGCAGAGGTAGAACTCCACCTGGGACATGATCCTCCAGACCAGCTGCAGGTTGGGGATGGAGCAGTGGCGGTCCAACAGATAAGCCCCCAAAGCATCTCTCATGTCGCAGCAGCTCCTGGCAGAGCAGCAGGGACACAGGCGTGAGTTGGTGGCTTTTGGCATAGGCAATAGTCACAAATACATTTGCCACGAGGCACAAGGAGGCGGCGGGTGCAGCTTGTCAAAGAAGGGGAGCCACAAGCCAGGCAGCTCATGGTCCCCAGTGCTGCCCAACAGCAGCCAGGAGAGAGGAGTGAGAATATGAGAGAGAATCAATTCTGCAGCCACCAAGGTCAGTGAAGAAGGAGGAGGTGCTCCAGGTGCCAGAGCTGAGATTCCCCTGCAGCCCCTGGTGAAGACCATGGTGAAGCAGGTTGTCCCCCTGCAGCCCATGGAGGTCCACGGTGGAGCAGGTGGATGTGCCTGAAGGGAGCTGCGACCCTGTGGAGAGCCCGTGCTGGAGCAGACTCCTGGCAGGAGCTGTGACCCTGTGAAGTGGAGCCCAAGCTGGAGCAGGGTTGCCGGCAGGACTTGTGACCCCCCCACGCTGGAGGAGTCTGTTCCTGAAGGACTGCACTCCATGGAAAGGACCCACACTGGAGCAGTTCATGAAGAACTGCAGCCTGTGGGAAGGACCCACGTTGGAGAAGCTGGTGGACGACTGTCCCCATTGGGAGGGACCCCACGCTGGAGCAGGGGTAGAGCGGGAGGAGGAAGGAGCGGCAGAGACAACGTGTGATGAACTGACCGCAACCCCCATCCCCTGACCCCCTGCGCCACTCGGGGAGAGGAGGTAGAGAACCTGGGTGTGCAGTTGAGCCCCAGTCGAGTCTGTTTTGCCCGGGATGGTAATTTCTGGGTGATCTCCCTGTCCTTATTTCGACCCACAAGCCTTTCATTGTATTTTCTCCCTCTGTGCATTGGTGGGGGGGAGGGGGAGTGAGAGAGCGGCTGGGTGGGCACCAGCAGCCAGCCAAGGCCAACCCACCACGTTCTCCCTGAAAAACACTATTTAAAGGAAAAGGCATTTGCAACCACAGCCCCTGATAGGTGCCTGTAGGGGCTGGGCACCCCAGCCTGCCTTAACCCTTTCTCTCCCCAGGAGGAGCTGGGGAGGCTGTTGGGGGAGGGCTGAACACGGGGACCCCCCACATTCCCTTCTGGGAGACCCCCAAACAGGAGCCCAGAGCTGACAACCCCAGAGTCCTTAGCAGTCAACAGTCAGAATGGACCATGGTGTTCTGCAGCCAACAGCAACACCTCGGCCCTACAACCACGAAGGGATAGCGCTGGCCCCAGCTCCCCCGGTGCTTCCCCAGGGGCGGTTTCCAGCACATGGAGAGGCAGTTTGCATGGCTCAGCCTCTGCGACACCGCCATCCCCGGGGGCACAACCCCAGGCAGCAATGTCCTCCTCAGCCCCTGTGCTGCCCCCCACATCCAAGCCGTTCCAGACCTGGCAGATGACACTGCACTGCCCAAGGAGTTCCTACTGACTTGCTCCGTGTTGTGCCAGGATGGTCCTAGCAGCATTCACATGCCTGGGGACCCTGGTGGCACCGGCAGTGCCATCCTCCACCGCGGCGTCAGCTCACTCTCGCTGCCCATGAAAATGCTTACCCCTGACTACAGCGTCCCTGAGGCCACCAACACGGTCCTGAGCCTGGAGCAGCTCCCCACGATCAGGATGTGGCCCCAGGAGCTCTGGTGGGCTGTGGGGAGGGACCCGCCAGGGTCCCAGCCTGGCAGGGGGGGACATGAAAAGCAGAGGAAGCCTAGAGAAGCCAGGGAATAAGCGGAAGAGGACCTGGCCAAACCCACCCAGCAAGCGCAGGGCTCTGGCAGCCAGCACTGGGGTGGTGTGTGGGATTAGACCCACAGCCGGGATGAGATGGAGATGGGGGGGCAGCATGGCGGGGAATGAGGTGTGTGGGGGTGTGTGTGGTGTACTGGGGGGGGGGGCTGGTGTTATAATGTAATAGCTTTGTTGAGTCCTTGCCATTAAAAGCCATTTTTCCAGAATGGCTGCGTGCCTGTGTGGGAGGGGGAGGGAGCGCAGGGAGCGCCAGGAGGTCCTGGAGGCGGTTAACTGGCCGTACTGCTTGTCTCCCTACATCCCCATCTCCTTCCTTCACACTGTGCCTCAGCGGCAAAGCCCCCTGCAGCCCCCAGCCCAGCAAGGTGACCAGCAGACAGTCCTTCACATCATTGTCAGCTGGGGGCTCTGCAGGGTCATTTCAGGGGGCCCGTCCTGAGCAGTCCCAGCGCCTCTTTCCCAGGGTAGGAGAGGGCGAGGAGCAGGCGAGGCAGTTCTGC